TCTGCGTATATTAACTTTTTCCAACGTAATGTCACAATGAAATTTGATACTTATGAGAATTTATTTAAGTTTCCTGAAGATAAACGATTCAATTTGACTGACGATGAAAGAACTTTCTTTTCTCTTTATAATGGATTACCTTCCGCATGCATACATTAATTCCACATTCAGTTATAAACTGGCGAATTCAAAAAAACTGGCCATATTATTAATTCCACATTCAGTTATAAACTGGCGAATTCAAAAAACTGGCCATATACACATTGCCATTTTTTGAACTACTTATTTTTCTTTCGTCTGTTCCATTTATAAATAAAGCAAAAGGGGAACGTAAAGTATACAAAAAACTATATTTCTTCACGACTTATATTTGATAAGGCCTTCTTTGTCTTAAATTCGCGAGAGAATGTTAGACATTTAGTTTTTATTGAAGGACATTCGAGGTTCATTGGTGCATTCAAACAAGTACTCTTCTGTTACTGCATGTTGTGCAAAATGACTTCACAGAATAGCTAAAAATAATTTTTAAAATACAAATCTTCAGTGTTACTGCACACAAATTTGATTCCTTTAACTTGGCTTTGCTTCAGTCTGAACAGTTTTGGATAAACTTTTCCAGTTCTGGAAGGGATATTTTCTAAACCTATTTTACTTATTTTGGAGTTCCTTTTTAGTATTATCAGCATTAAAGTGTAGTTTGGTTCTCTCTTTCGTAATAGCAGAGGAAGTTCCTTCCATACGAGACTACTCCCAATTTTCCCAAAACGAATGGCCATTTCTCTTAATAAACCTAACTAAAATGATGATTTAACTAAGTAAAAGGGCTTTCGCAGCATTCAATAAACTGAATGAGTCAAAATAGTGTTACTAAATATACGCTAAATCACCACGTCAAATTTCATTATGAACGTTGCACGGTCCTTAACGACTACTGTACAACTACATTTATACAGTCGAAAAAGACATGCAGTAGATTACCTATCTGATGAAAGGTTGGAGATTGACTGTTTAAACAAACTTTTGAGGTTGTTTATTAAGTTCATTAGGTTGACTTGAGGCGCAAAATGATGTTTACTAGAATTAAATTCCGTTCAGCT